GGGGGGGGGGGTCCCTGGCAGACCAGCCTTGGGGGTGGCTGTGACCTGGGGGGTTGAAAGGAACTCTGAAATGGTGTGGAAGGACCTCACTGATGGGACCTTGGGAAGGACCTGCTGAAAACACAACCTAGATGCATTTTAATCCCTCCCCTGCATAGCCCTCTTCCACAAGGACTTGAAATGACTTTCTCAAAGTCCCCAAAGAGCTTATCCCGGGAGGTTTGCGGCAATTAGCTCCTGCTATCAAAGAGAGCCTTCCCAGTGCGAATGGAAGAGCAGATGGGGGGTGTGTGGGGGGGTGGGTGTCCTACCTGCAAACCCCTTCATTAAAAAGGCATGAGTCCCTGCTGCAGCCTTTCAGCTCTCCTGGGGAAAGAGGCGCCCACAGCGAGGTCCCCCCCTTGCATGCATATGGAAAAAGGCCACAGCTAAATGCCACTGCATTTGCATAGCACTATTTTTTTTCCAAATTCTCAGCATTTCTGGGAGGAAGGGGCTAAGAGGACTGGGCTTTGATTTGGAGCATTAGAGTAGGAGTCCTCACCCGGCTGTGGATTTGGGTGGGGGGTGTGTGTGTCTTGTCCAGCTGGCTTTGCTTATGTATGCACAACCTTGGGGTTTTTAAACCCCTCAAGCCATGAAAAGAGGGGGTCCTGCAGCCCTGTCCCATGTGAAGAACCCCAAAATAATTTGTCCAACACCAAAACGGTGGTTGTAGAGATGGGCCAAATCCTCTCCTCCCAGTGTGAAGTTCTGGAGCACCAGTGTCCTCCTGGTGTGAAGTTCTGGAGCACCAGTGTCCTCCTGGTGCAGGCAGGGAGGGTGCTGTGAGGGTGGGACCCCTAAGTTGTGGTGCCTTGATCACCCCAAGGTGCAAGGGGAGGGATCCCCAGTCCCTGCTCACTGTGGGTAGCCGGGAGCTGCTGTGGCTCAGAGGCATCTGTCACATCCCTGGGGGAGCAGACCTGCAGATCTCCCCCAGGGTGAGCTGAATTCTGGCTGCAGCCCCCAGAGCACCCTGCTCCGCTCCTGGCTGTGTCAGGTTGTCCCACACCATCATCTGCTCTCCCGTTTTTCACACACTTAAATGGAGGGGAGGCTGTTTGACCTCCTCCAAAGGGTCCCCCTGAACATAAAATGTAGTCTCCGCCACGAGGAGCCACCCTGGTTGTTCTCTGTTTGTCCGGGATGCTAAACCACATCCCGTGCTGTATATTTATTTATTGTTCATGCAGAGTTATAATTAATGGAGCAGGGTCGAGTTGGAGGTCTGTAACCAGTGGTGTCCCCCCAGAGGTCAATACTTGGTCCAGTTCTGTTTAACATATTTATCAATGACCTGGACGAGGGGACAGGGTGTATCCTCAACAAGTTTGCTGATGAGACCAAACTGGGAGGACTGGCCAACACTGCAGAGGGCTGTGCTGCCATCCAGTGTGACCTGGACAGGCTGGAGATAAGGGCAGAGAAGAACCTCCTGAGGTTCAACAAGGGCAAGTGTAGGGTCCTGCAGCTGTGGAGGAAGAACCCCAGGCACCAACAGAGGTTAGGGGTGGACCTGCTGGAAAGCACTTCTGAGGAGAAGGATCTGGGGGTCCTGGTGGAGAGTAAACTCTCCATGAGCCAGCAATGGGCCCTTGTGGCCAAGAGGCCAATGGGATCCTGGGCTGCGTAGGGAAGAGTGTGGCCAGGAGGTGGAGGGAGGTCATTCTCCCCCTCTGCTCTGCACTGGGGAGGCCACAACTGGAATCCTGTGTCCAGTGCTGGGCTCCCCAGTTCAAGAGGGACGGGGAACTGCTGGAGAGAGTCCAGCGTAGGGCAACAGAGAGGATGGAGGGGTTGGAGCATCTCCCTGATGAGGAAAGGCTGAGAGAGCTGGGGCTCTTCAGGCTGGAGAAGAGAAGGCTGAGGGGAGACCTTCTTCATGCTGACAAGTCTCTAAAGGGGGGGTTGAAGGAGGATGGAGCCGGACTCTTTCCAGTGGTTCCCAGGGACAGGACGAGGGGCAACGGGCACAAGCTGGACCATGGGAAGTTCCACTCCAATGGGAGGAAGAACTTGTTTGGGGTGAGGGGGGCAGAGCCCTGGCAGAGGCTGCCCAGGGAGGGTGTGGAGTCCCCTTCTCTGGAGATCTTCAAGCCCCGCCTGGATGCTCCTGAGTGATGTGCTCTGGGCAGCCCTGCTTTGGCCGGGGGGTTGGACTGGAGGGTCTCTAGAGGTCCCTTCCAACTCTGACAATTCCATGACTGGGGGGTGACGATGGCCGCGCCGTGGGGCGGTGGGGATGGTGGCACCGGTGGGGATGGTGGCACCGGGAGGCAGCGGTGAGAGGCGGCCACACGCTGAAATTACCGGTCTGTTCCCCAACCGGGTCCCGTCAGCCCTTCGTGCCCCCGCCGGGAAGGGGGAGGGGGGCGGACGGAGCCCCTGGGGAGGCTTTGGCTGCCCTCGCCGGGAGCTCCGGAGCCCCGGTCCCGCTCCCGCCGAGCCCCGGCGTGGGGTCCCCTATTACCGGAGAGAGGAGCGCGGCTTCTCCTTAATTAATATTTCACGTTTAATTGGGCTCGCAGGAACCACAAAGCCGAGGAGACGCCGGGGCGCCCGGCGGGGCGGACGGTGCCCCGAGGGCCGAAGAGGGGCGGCCGAACCTTTGAATTCGTTGCCCTGCGCCCCACCGACGGCGGGGAGGCGGGGCACGGCCGGACGGTTCCGGGAAACCCGCCGCCCCCAGCCCCGGGGCCGGG